CTAGTAAGGCACTTGTTACTAGAAGCGATGCACTTGTTGCTAATAGCTTATTGTTTCTATTGGTGCTTGTTTGGTTTTCAAGTTGCCTGATAGATTGGATGCAGGACTAGCTGGAGCCTTGTGAGTGCCAATTCGATCCAACACATGTCGGATCGGTGTGCATAGACACCCAGACGCACTTGATTAGCTGTCTGGTATCGCATGAGGCCAGGAATGGCACCCAACGGCAAACGCAGGCAAGCCAGGAAGAGCACCTTGAGTACATGTGGGTAATGCCAAGCCTGGCATGTACTTCTATGCCGAAGGCAAAGTTGGCCGAGTGAACTCCTACATGTGTTTGCCAGTCACAATCGACGGCGATCAGTGGACACCGGCCCACACTTCGGCATGCAAACGACATTTAGCTGCTGGCCATGGTGCTAAGCAATCCGTTCAAAAGAAGTGCGACATCACAGCTTCTTGATGAGAGATTTGACCACGTGACTCCAGCAAAGTGGCTGATCCGTTCGAGTCTTGGATGAAGATCCAATGAATGTCTCCGACCTTCGAGGCCGTTAGCCATCCCTGCAGTGGCCTCAGTCTTGCCGGTTTGCCAATCCGATTTTGCAGTGGGTTCTGTATCTCAGGCGCCCATTGGCCCACCGCCCACACGGCAAGTGCAAAGGCCCAGTCTGGCGTGCCTTGCATCACAAGAAACGGGCAGGCATCAAGGCCTAATGTCAGACTGCAGACATAATTTTGAGGGATTGGCCGTCGGCAGCCCTGTTCTAGCTAACACACTGAGCTGCTGGCCCAGCGGCCAGAAGTGAATGGGAGATTCTCATGTTTTGCGTTTCCTCCAAGCCTCCCAGCTGAGGTTCGAACGAGGCCTTTCGACCTTGTGCCCCGGTTTGAACGAGGTTGAGTGACGGTGGCCCGGATGCAAAGCTGTCGGCAACCAAGGCTTGCAAAGAGTGAGGCCAGACCAACAGTGGCGACAAAGGAGCGCTTGTGTCTGTGACCTTCTGTGGTGCTCCCCAACTGCCTTGGAGCCCAGGAGAGTGTGGCGGAGTGGCGGGACGTGATTGAATTCCAAGTGTCGTTGGACACCTCAATTTCTTGGGAATGCTGTGACTTTTAGCCTTTCAGAGCGATTCAGTAGATTCGTTCCGCGGACTGTCGCATGTTTCCACATCCTTCGAGCGTTCAGCTGCAAGCCCAGGGTCCAGCGTGCAAGTGTAAACATGATGAACAGAGATCAGCTTGGTAATCATGAAGGATATGATGATTTGATATGAAGCCATGCACTTACTCTACAGCTAGAATCACTGATGAACATACACCCATGCCCAAACATGTGAATATATATACTGTATATATATAGATAGACATATAAGACACGCGTGGCCATCTTTCCTGACTTTCCATCTCAAAATTCGTGACAAGTCAGCATGGCAACCACTCGCAGACGTGCTTCTGGCCGAAGCCTTTACCGTTTGAAGGTGGCCGCCCTTACAGCTATTTTCGGTGGAACTGGCCTATCTTCTTTGTTTGTGTGCCGCAGCTACTTGGCAGGTAATTCACATTGGCCAGAATGGCGCGCTCCTTGTACAAGTCCTTTGAGATTGAAAGCGACATGTGACCAATCGATGGGCTGGGATGGACCTGACCCTGAAGTCACAGGCCAACTGCGAGCGCTGGGGCGCTTGCTCAGAACTGCCGCAGTGCAGCTTGTTTCTGCTGCCGAGCTGCCAGTCTCAGGAGCCACGGCCACTTATCTTCCTGACTTCGTGGGGCTCCGACTCCGCTGCTGTGGCACTGCACTCCATTCAGCAGCAGAGGCATTGCTGGCAGAGCAATGGGCAGAAGCAAGGAATTGTATAGGTCATGTTCCAAGACACGCACTGATTTGTGAAGAGGACCTTGAGGCTTTGCAAGAAGTTCTCGCTGGGTCGCTACGCCTTCCTAGCACAGAGCTGCGAGAGGCTTTGCTGTCAATTGTGCAGAAAGTCGAGTCCGCCGGCGACAAAGTTGACGAGACCCTCCACGATTTCTTTTTGAAGGCAGCTGCAGCATTCCGCTCCGCAGCGAGGATCTTCAAACCCAAGAATGACATGAATGAGGGATGTGACCGCCGTGACAGCCGCAGCTTCCGTTCCAATCGCGGCCCTCCTACGGAGATCGAACGTCTTCTGCATGCAACCCCTGTTCGCGAGAGACGAACTCTTCTTCGTGCTCTTTTGAAGCACTACCATCCAGACAGGAATCCTGGAAGGGAAATGGAAGTTCTTCCAGTGTTTCACTATGTACAGAATCTTCGTGAAGACTTGGATAGATGGAGAGCTTGATCCTCATCATTAGGAGAGTTCGACTGTTGATCTGAAGCCAGTGCATTTTTGATGCATTCTTGATTTGTAAGCTGATGAGGGTCCAGACCGTTATCCAACAGCCACTTGGCAGATCCAATCTTCCCAATCTGGATTTCATGACCTTTCTCAAAAATAGGAGGATTGGGGACCCCCAACCCACTTGGACAGTGTTCTTCCTGCCCTCGAGGCAATCGACTTGGGGGTGCTCCTATTTTTCGAGATGCTCATACTGTACCGAATTCGACCGAGTCCGAGCAGGGGCAAAAAGGGTCTCCAGACTGACTCCGGACTGAACAAGTCTACTTCAAGGGAATGGACAAACCTGACGAACTTGCTTTGCAGCTATGCCTGGACTGTTCTTGGGCTCAAAGCCAATTCTGCTGCACCTCACAGTGGATGCCTTGAAAGAAGCGCAATGGCCGTGGGGTTGGACAAGCCATTGCTGGGCAAGAATGGCTCGAAGGCTGGTAAGTTTGCAGCTTCTTCACCATAAGATTGATTGCGTGGTTTGCGCATGCAACGATCACCGCCCCGCCCGTTGTGGATTTTAAAGCAGGTTGAAGTGGGTTCTACGGTGACAGCCACGGTCTGGCACTCAGCGCAACTCATGACGTAGCCCTGACAGAAGCGATGACCGTGTGAGCGACAGGTGATCAACCTTTTGAAAAACATGGTTGGCGCCGGCCTTCTGAATGTCCTGTGCTTACTTCAAGCATCAAATCTCGGAAACCCCGAAGCGTTGGACCCCCCAAAGTCTACCCAGGAATGGACGGGCCAGGAATTGTATGGAATTGTTTCGTGTCAATCGTTGATCACCTGAGGTGTGCGTTGCATTTCAATATGCATCAGTCGTGGGTGGACTACTTATCATGTTGTTCTCCGCCTTCGTATGCACTGGAGGACTCGCTGTTAGCTTGTGCTCATCTCCAATCATGGTCAGTGGTGTCAAGTCAGCTCTTCCTTCCCCAGGATTCTTGCTCATTGGCTACTGCTGCTCTAAAACTGGTGTGCGAACCTCGAATTGGCCGTTCCAAGACGAGAGGAGCCTGCAGCTCTCAAGCACTCGGGGACGCCGAGCCGGTCGCTGTCCACAGCTAGGCCAGAACCTTTAGGGAGCTGTGGCGATCAGCGATGGGTTCCCAGACGGAGAAGATGCTTGTCATGGAAAGCGCTCAAGAAACGCCCGCACCAGGGGGCCCTTTGTTTTATGTTCCGTTTCCTTGGCCTACCCATGGGGTGGTTCATGAATGTATGTAAATCGTGATATATTTAATATTTGCATAATAGTTTGCATAATCTATATATAACATGTAGATACATGTAGTATATGATAATTCATATTGTCATATTGTTATAATTTCTATATGTTATAGACGCACGTTTGGGAGCCTTTGCATTTTGGCATCCAAGGACAGTTGACGTGGTGCTATTCTTCCACACGCTCTTTAGCTGCGTCCTTTGGCCCGAAAGGTTTAATGGGGCATGTCGGGCATGGAGATCAATCATTTTTGAGAAGCCGTATTTGGAGCACACACTGCTCGCACGGCCTAGTTGTGTAAGCATATGTGTGAATACTTGGCCCCTGTACATTGTGATAGGGCTTATGCATGTGCATTTGGGAGGCATCATATGATATTATGTCTATGTAAGGATCAATGATGTGTTTGCCCCGATTTCCTTCTGCTTTCCTCGAAGCTTTCCGGTTTATTTTCAATTGCTCAAGCATTCTTTCTCTCCTTTTGGATGAGCTACAGACTTCTTCACCATGCTTCACAGGGCACCTGCGCCGCAAACCAATGCAAAATTCTAGGAAGCCTCCAGCCGGACCGGCACATCGAAACTTAAACGGTGATAGACCAAACTGAGGTTGGATACGTCACCATGATCGGTGACTTTTGCATCAAGAGTGCATCGGGGTTGATCCCAGACTCCATTTTTGCCCGGCGCCGGGAATCCTCCATTCTGGCCAAAGCCTCAGACAGATCAAGATATTCACGATATCTAGCTACCAGTAACAAGGGTATCACTTCTAGGAACAAGAAGCTACTAGTAACAAGATGAACTGGTTTGAGCCCGTAGAACCTTCTTTCTTTTTGAACCTCTCAACGCCTTTCTCTTGAGTTTCATCGATCCAAGTTGATTAGCCTCTTTGCGATCTTCCCCTTGTGCCTGTACAAGGCATCGAAACGAACGACCAACATGAAGCACGGTGCTGTAGTCTAGGGTGGGTCCAATGCCCGCCTTGAGCAAGGGGTTCATTGTAGACTTGCAGCCACCTTGAGAGATGAGAATCATGATGTTTGCCAGAACCTGGACCCCTTGAAGTACACGTCTGTGGTGGGGCTTGCCATTACTGCCTTTTCGTGTGTCTGGAACCAAGCTCAAAGGACACTCTCTTTCAAGCACCTCAGCCGGGCCAAAGTCTTACTAGCTGGCCACTGGCTAGCCGAGGCGTACATTTTCTACGATGTCATCTGGAACGCGGCCCTTTGTCTATGTCTATGAGCATGTCCTTTTCAAACTGGTCCGTGTTTCAAGTGACGCATGATGATTTTTGCAGCTCCAAAGCTTCAAAGGAAGAGTACGGAGCGGCCGAGACGTTGAATTCGCATTTTTGGTATGCCGCTGAAACTGCAATCATCAGTGTCTTTGCAGATTGGGAAGGTGTAGGTGTAGGCGAAGCGTGTCGTGCTCAGGTTCAGCTTGATATGTTCAAGACATTGGCGCTATTCAATGGCTCATTCTCGGCCCACTACAATGCCCCAACCTATTATGCAGAGTTGCATCTTGCCGAAAGATGTGAAGAGGGTACTGTATGCAAGCAGATTGTAGAAACTGCCTACTTGTGGCAAACACGCACGCCCACATGTTGTTTTTATTGTTGTATGGCTTTGGTTTGCGCCCCTGTTGTTCAAAGAAGCATGCCCAAATAACAGGGGCGCACACTTCGAACTTGGATTTTCAGTTAATGCAAGTATCACGTTGGGAAGGAAGGCGAGGGAAACGTAAGGTGAAAGGTCAGCGCAACTGAAATGTTTAACAATCTGTTCACTCATCTGCAGAAGCGCGG